CATATTTGCCGATGTTAACAAATATCACGATACCTAGACCTCTTAAGCAATCGATGCTGGTGTTTCTAGTAATGTTAATACCCGAAAAAGCTATACCAGGCGCTTTGTGAACACAAAAAACGGGTTAAACCTAATACCAGCGAAGATAAAAACAGCGCAGCTAAGATTCAAGATAGAACAAAACGACAACTATACTAACTATACCTAAGGATAGTAACTATTTGGGATGAAATGACTAATACACCAACAACAATATATAAAAGCCCTATGTACTTCATCCCGAGACGGCTTGTGAACAAAGCCACTTTTCAAAAACGGTTGCGGACTGGTGCGGAATCGAACCAACCCTCCCGCTTCTGCCCGTGAGTGTGCGCGCTATCCACTACACCACCGGCCATCGCACCTCAGAATCAGCCTTTCAAGGCAGAATACACCATTCTTTTCTTGAATGCCTCTCCCACGGAATATATATTTTTTTTCTTCGTGGTGGCTTTTTCCTTGCCAGCTTTCCGCAGGTTTTCCGCGAAACTGCATGTACAGGAACTTTCTTAATCGAGGCACACAAAATAGGGCCTTATCAAAGTAGTAATACCATTCCTCACTTGAAAAGATGTACTAATTTCGCATCGGATCCAACCAGCAGCTACAGCGTGCTAAGCAAAAGACATGTTTTCTCGACAAAATCATCGGGACATAGTCGTCTGTGTCTCAACAAAATCTTCAGAACTCCCCATACAAATCTGTCCGGACTCGGCCATGCGTACAGTTCCGAAATTTCGAAGCTCCGGCTCTTGATTATCATTCGCGGTCAGTGTGTTACTGCACCGACCTATGATCCCATGTACGGAGCTAAATCAGGATCAATGGAAGCAATAAAAATCTTACTTTTAATCGTTGCACGTCATCCAGCGGGATTTGTCCATTCGTTCCAATAAGACGCATTTTCTCTCGTCTCTTTCGTGCTTCATAAACCGTCTTTGCATCCGGAATTTCCCCTGAATTCTTTTCATTAAAAATCTTAATACGTACAAGAACTATCCTGGCCTGAAACAGTAAATGAGACAGATTGCAAAACCCAGATCTGAGGACAGAAATCTGTACAGACTACTGCAGTATTCCAATAAAAGTCAGTTAAAACAAAAAACTGGGTTGCACGCCCACTTCCCTAGAGCGAAAATGTCACAAAATCCTCTTGGCAAAATGACAAAATTTAAAAAAAAAACGCAAGAGACACTATTAGGGCTTCTTAATAAACCATAAATAAATGGCAACGCGCACCAGACTAGCCGGTGCGATCATGCGTTTTGTGCAATTCAGCCCA